AATCGATTTCTCTTTCCATTCTTAGCATTTATGTCTACATTTGTATATGTATCTATCTCGATTCGTTTTGGCTCTTACAAACAACCTTTATGCGAACAATGTTATAACAACCTTCTGCGCAAGTGCGCTCGGGTATAAAAATCAGTGCCTCTGAAGGTATTCCGAATAACAAGAAATATGTTGGTTTACTCCTTATGCACGTAGAATTTCTCTTTCAGTGTGATTTTCTTAGTTGAAATTTCAAAAATAGTCGTTATTTGCGGTCCCTGTTTTTTTATAAGAAATTTTTATACCCGAGCGGACTTGTTCACAAGGGTATTATAACTTTGTTCGCGTAACGGTTGTTCATAACAGCCAAAACGAATCGAGATAGATATATACAAATGTATACATAAATGATCAGAATGAAAAATGGGCGAAATCAGACCGTGACCACGCCCACTTCCCATATAACGGTAGTTTTTAGAAATACGAAAACTGCGATATTTTAGTAACTACTGAAAATTGATATAAACAATGATTTTTAGACGTAAAATAAGAATATTATAAATTTTTGGAAAATGGGCGTAGCCACGCCCACTTATGATTACATGTATATAACTTTTGAACCGTTACACCAATTTCTTCAAAACTTTGCACAGTTGTTAGCCTTGGTACAACATACCAAACGGCTGAAAATTTTGAAAATCGGACAATAACCACGCTCACATTCCATATAATGGTAATTTAGAGAAGTACGAAATCTTCGATAAATCAGTAAATACGGAAGCTAACTTATTCAAAATTAATGTTGGCATTATTCTTAAGCAAAATACACGTTTATGATGAAATTTTGGAAAATAGGTATGGCACTTATGACCTGGTACGTATATCTCGGTAACCGTTCGATCAATTTATACCAAACTTGTGACGATTATTCCGCTTACCACATAAAAGCAAAATGTTAAAAATAAAATACTCCCACTTTTCATATAACTGTAATTTTCAGAAATTCTCAAAACTTCGATATTTCGAAATTTAAGGACGCTAATTTATTCAAAATTGATACTAACAACAATCCCTTGAAAAGAAGTAGCATTATTATAGAATATTGGTAAGTGGGCGTGATACCGCCCACATCTAACTATATAAGTTTATTTCATTAAGTATAACTGAAAATTCTACCGAAATTGTAAGCAATATGGGTAAAACCACTCTTCTTACCATGTAACGGTAGTTTTCAGAAAGGGGAATACTATATTTAATACTTGCGCCGGGTATTTAGTGTTCGGCTCCTCCCGAACTTAGACTTTTTTACTTGTTTTTATGTGTCTTTTTTTGCCGTTATGCATTTGTAGTGACGATATATATCGGTAACCGCTTAACCAAATTTCTCCTAAATTCAGCACAGTTGTCTTGGCATAAAATAACCAAACGGTTGAAAGTTTTCAAAATCGGACAATAACCACGCCCGCATCCCATATAATGGTAATTTAGGGAAATACGAAATCTTCGATAAATCAGTAAATACAGAAGCTAATTTATTCCAAATTTATGTTTGCAATAACTCTTTAGGACAAAATACGTCTATAATAAAATGTTGGAAAATGGTCATGGCACCGCCCACTTATGACCACACATGTGTAACCGGTAACCGTTCCATAAATTTTTACTAAACTCGATATGATTACACTGTGGAACAAATTCAGGTTAGCAAAAGTTAGGTCGATTCTGAGAGTGAGGGGTGAAAATAGATACTAAATTAGAAGACCCGCATCGACCTTCGAACTTTGCAGTCAAATGCCGATTTTCAGCATATTGTTTATATGGTTTTTTGGCTATAACTCGTCGACTAATTGATATTTTTTCAATCTGTTAAAGCCAAATTATTGCTAGAGACCTGTGCAACAATTAAAATTAAAACAAAAATTGATTTAGAAAATTTTTGTAGTGCTTATGAAGCAAAATGTTGGAAATTTTTTTTTCATGCTTTTTGATCATATTTTTCACAAAACTAAGTCTTTTTTGCTTTCTGTTTGATCTATAATATGCTTCTCAGTTTCTTCAATAAATTTCATTTGAAAAGAAAACAATCATAATACAAAACTTGCATTTTCCAGCTTAATATTAATTTACTTCTCATTTCTTATGTACCAATTTTTTCAGTGTTGGTTTTGAAGAAACATTGAAAAAGAAATTATAAAAATATGGAAAAAAATATGATTTCAAAATGTTAGTTATGAAAAGTTTTAGGTAAAAAAATTAAATTAATTAAATTAATGATTTGGCCAGCTGCCGTTTAGCAGGCGGCTGTGGCTCAACATCACTGCTCTCTCTAATATCTTGGTCATCGTCATCATCATCAGAAAGGTCGATAATTTCGTCCAACAGATATTCTGGAATTTCATCTTTGTCTTCACCTTCTTCCTCTTTTTCCTCGTCTAACTCTTCTTCAAAGGTGTTTTTATACCACCAACAAATTTCAGCGAGTATTGCATTTGGAGATTTCTTTCCTCTGTACCTGAAACGAAAATAGTTTTCAATCGTTAACATGTTTAAATTGTGCCTCTGACAAAGATATTAGAAAGATCTAGGAATTCAAAATATGCACACTCTATAGTTACCTTATTTCAAATGGAAGCGCAGTTTGGTGATAACTTTCGCCTTGCTCATCAGATTCAGTTGGCAACGAGTTAATCAAGATGCTGATGAAAGAGATGAATTTTGTACGACATATTAACCCCAATTTCATCGAAAGCTGCCAACATGTTTGCAACAGATTGCCTGTAGTTGTCTTTGCGTTATTTACCCAAAAGTCCTTTAATGACTGCTTTCAAT